TTTTTGTTAGCATGGAACCCAAATGTGATTATATTCTCCAAGAAAAAACATTGAAAAATTTTGAATCATTTAATGATTGGGCATTACAAATTTCCTGATAATTATTTTTTATATTTTATACGTTAACAATATTTAAAGATTTATAGGATAAATAATAACTTAATTTTTGGATAAAAATTTTATAGCTAAATTAAAAAGATAATTACAAATGGAAAGTTTAAAACATATTAATATATTAAAATGGTTTTTCATCAATTATTAGGAAAGCAATTTTTATGATTAAAAAAAACTAAAGAGTATCTTATGCCACTTGCATTAATATTACCATGTAGCAATTTTTTACTTTGAAAATATATAATATTCCCTCGTTTCAATTCCACTACCAGATTTATTTTTGGAAACACTAATTCACCTCCTTCAAATTCACCAAGGGTACAATTACACACAAACTGTTATTGAGATCATTAGCATCATAATGAAGATCTGTTAACATATTGAAATTGACAGCTAACATAGTAAATATATTGAACAGTTTTTTCACCTATAAAAAGTAGTAATAATAATATTAATATTGATTAAAACATTAATTACAAAAAAATTATATATATAGAAATATCAACCTGTTCTGGAAACACATTTGATACTGTCACCGATTAAATTTGGGAGAGTGTATTTTAATTGGTGATAACAATTATTTTTGTTTTTGCGTGGATCAGAATGAATAGGGATCAATGAATTGATTTTGGTATTAGCGAATAATTTTGTTTAAAGATAAAAGTTTTAAATAAAATATTTCTATTTTATTTATTAGTTTTATTTAGTTGAAACTAATTAACAAAATTTTCCTTAGTCGAAACTAATTTATTACCAAGTTAATCTTTATTATCAAACTTCAAGACAAAGTTACAAAGTTTTTCTTAGTCGAAACTAATTAACAAAGTTTTCTTAGTCAAAACTAATTTATTAACTTATTTCTAAGTTAATTTTTATTATGAAACTTTAAGACAAAGTTATTTTACAAGCAAGTCGAATTTGAGCTTCTTTTATACAATTAAATTAATTAGTAAAAACTTCATTGCAATCTAACATTTCTAGCCGCGACATCGCACTTTAATTGCGACGTAACATTCTAACCGCGATGCTAATTTCTAAATAAAGCTAACTAATTTCGACATTATACAAATAAAAATAAAAATGTAATACAAATAAAATAATAAAAATGTAAGTAAATATGAATAAAAATAAAATAAGAAATAAAATATAAGGAATAAATAAATGTAGATATAAAAATAAAGTAAATAAAGTAAAAAGAAATAAAAGATTTGGTTCGGAATTAGGGTATTTTGACTAACAAAATTAGCATGTCAAATAATTTTTATATATTTGAATACCTAACACTATCAAATATCTGTGTAATAAATTACATATAATTAAATCATGATAAATGTAACAATTTATGTAAATAAATAAGAAATAGTCTAAACATTATAGTCAAACAAATTATTATTTTATTTTACTTTTTAAGTTTAGAAAAATTTGGATAGTTAAACATCATGCATACAGGCATGCTCAGTAAAAATGTAGTTTTTATTTTTTCTCACACATAAAATTTTAAATGAATAATTAATATCCCAAGGTCCACCCATTAGTTAATCAATATAACAAAACCAACTCAATTATTTAAAATCAAAGTAAATATTATCTTTGTTGATTCTTATTTATCCAGTGGTACCTGTTATGTGTATATTAATTGTTTTTATAATTAGATGAATAACAATGATGAATTGACTTCATTACAAACTAATAATCATTTAAGAAGAAAAATTGGTAGACCAAGAAAACCAATTTGGCAACATTTTACTGAAATTGGTAGCTCTAACAATAATAACAATAATAAACAACCTGGTGCAAAATGTAATTACTGTGGTCAACAATGGGCTTGTGGGAAAAGTTCTGATATGATATCTCATATTGCATTGTCATGCACTAAACCTCCACCACCTGATATATGTATAAAGTTTCAAAATGTATTGCAAAATGATGAGATTAGTGAGGATGATGATGATGTAAATAATAATTCAAAAAAAAAACAAAAACAAACAAAAATTTTTGATCATCTTGAGAAAAAAACAATTACAAATGAAAAACAACTTAGATGTTCATATGCTTTAACAAAATTTTTTGTTTGTTGTGGAATTCCATTTTGGGTTGTTGAAAACCCATTCTTTGTAGATTTTATTACTAATTTATGTCCTGGTTTTCATCTTCCTAAAAGAACCACATTGTCTACTACATTTGTTAATTTAGAATGTGCAAAAGTAATTTCAAAAATTAACAATGGCCTTGTTAATGAGGTTAATCTTACATTAGGTATTTATTTATTTATTTATTTTATCAATAATTTTAAAAATTTGACTAAAATTTAAAATAAATCAGGTTTGGATGGTTGGACTTCTCCAGCAGGACAATCATTATATATTTTTGTAATTATGACATCAGATAGAAAAGAGTATGTACACTCTTTAAAGAATTTTTCAAAAGATTCACACACTGGAAACTTCTTATGTACTGAAATATCACGAGTTCTTAATGAAGTGGGTGTGAATAAATTTTCTGCTGTGGTCTCTGACCATGCTGCGAATATAGTTTTAGCAAAAAAATTAATTTCTGAACAATATCCTCATATAATACCAATGCGATGCATTGCGCACCACATCAATCTCTTAACTAATGATATTATGAAATTAGAATGGTCATCAAAATTAATTAAAGAATGTAGAAAAATTGTCAAATTTTTTACTAATTCACATGCTGCTGGTGAAAATTTGAGAGAGGAAATTATTAATAATCGGATAATAGGTGGGGGTTTAAAACAACATGTAAAAACTCGTTGGACAACAGCATTTGACTGTACAAACTCCATAATAAGATGTCAAGTGGCAATTAAAAATGTAAGTTTTTTTTTGTTTTTAGATTTAAGTCAGTGATGTAGTTAACATTTTCTTTATATAATTTAGTTGGTAGAAAACAATTCCTATTTATTTAATAACAATATTTTGTCAATTTTGAATTGTCGTAATTTTTATCGTGATGTTGAGGACCTCCAAACAATTCTTGATCCAATTAAGAAAGCAATTGTCATGCTTGAGCATAGAAGTGCCACTCTGGCTGATTGTTTTATTTGTTTGATAAAATTGGCAGTGATTATTAAGGAATTTCCACAAAATAGAAATAATTCCTTCCAAAGAAGATGTCAGTTAGCATTTGATAAACGTTGGAGTGAGTTTAATTTTGAGCTGTATTTACTTGGTTATTTCCTTCATCCACAATTTAGAGGTAAAGTACTATTACTATGTAATAATAATTTCAATTAACAAAATTTGATTAAATAATGATCAATTTAGATAAAGGATTGCATGCTAACACTTTTCGAATGATATGTAAAAAAGCACTTTGCATTTGGAAATCTCTTGGGGGTGGCAATACTTCTGCAAATGAATTAGTTGCACAATTGTCAAATTATTCATTAAAAATCCAACCATATGATTTTGAATTTGTTCCTGAACTACATTCTGTAAAAAATTGGTGGTTGATGTGCAAACAAAAAAATAATCATATACAAAAATTGGCTTTAATGATTAATGCAATTTCTCCTCATAATGTTAGTTGCGAAAGGATGTTTTCAGTTTTAGGATGGTATATGGATAAGAGAAATACTAGGTAATTAATTTACTTCTGACACTTTGAATATCATATAAATGAAATTATTTATTATTTACAAGATTCTGCTGATCAAAACAAATTTTTTTTTGTTTACTATATGATGTTCATTTTCAGATTGAATTGCTCACTTCTTGAAAATATGGCACGTATGCATTCATACTACGTTTCCAACACAAAAGATGAAATCAAAAGTGCTTATCAAGAACTGAATGAAACAGAATTTGAACAAGTTGTAATTCAATCAAATCTACACTTTTCTGGTACTTTGACTGATGAAGAAGTAGATGAAAATAGTGATGATGATGGTGGACAGTAGAAGAAGATAATGATAATGATGGTGAGAGTGAAGAGCAATTGGCTGCATCTGAAATAAATCAAAATTTGGTAACATTTGAAGAATTGATAAATGTGGATGATGAAGAACTCCAAAATGTTTTAGGAATTGAGGTTTCTGTTGTAATTCCACCCTATGAAATTATTGAACATGGAGATCCAGAATTTGATGTAGAGTCAATTGTAGATAATTTAATGACAAGGAGATCAAAAGGATCAAACCAAAATGTTAATGTCACTAATGAATAGTAATTAATAATTGATTTTTTTTATTAAAAATTTATTATATTAAACAGTTGTGAAAACAATAGTATTTATTAAATATAAATAAAACTATGATTTTTATTTCAAGTAAATTATTATTATGAAATATGAATGATATAAAAAGTAGTTGCAAAAAGTAATCAAATTAATTTGGGATGTACAAATTAATTTGGGATGTACAAAGTAATTTGGGATGTACAAATTAATTTGGGATGTACAAAGTAATTTGGGATTACAAAGTATTTGGGATTTGTACATTTGGGATGTGCAAATTAATTTGGGATTTGGGAATCATGATTTTTAATTTGGGCGGCATCTATAATTTTCACCACCTTTGTCTGCACGAACCCTAATTGGAATGCCAAATTTATTGCATCCATCTAAAAAATATTTCAATACTGTTTTAGAACGGTTATTACTACTACAATGTAAAAATGTTATCATTTGTGTAAATCCATCAATTCCTCCATGTATAACAAATTTCCATTTGATTAATTTATGATTTCCATCAATGTGCCATAATGAATTAGGACCAGCAACATGATATACACGTCTAGGAATAATATATGCCCAACGATTAATGATCCTAAATGAATCAATATGATATAATGAATCTCTGAGTCTCTGACGATGAATTTTTATTCCTAATGATCTTAGTGTTCCCATAATAATATTTTGTCCAGAGAATGGTTGCTCTTGTCTAATAATTCTAACCACACCATCAATTTGTTCATTAGTTAATTGTGTATATTCACCTATATCATCAGGAATGTTTAATTCTCTTCTACGTCTTTGAATTGTTTTACTAGATATTCCAAAGATTGTAGCAATTTTTTCCCAACTAAACCCTTCTTTTCTCAAAATTCTGATTGCATTTTCACTAACTAATATTGTAGGTCTACCACTAGTACATCTATATGAAATAAACTTATTTATTGGGTTATTATTTTCTGAATTTAAAGTTTCTATTTTGGTTTCTAGTTGTCTTTTTAGGTTTATAATTTCTGGTAAAAATCCCAGAATATTATCATTGGGAAAATTAATAATAAGTTGTGTAAACATGGCTAATAAAAGATCAAGCCTTTCTATATGTAATTCAATTGAATTTACATCATCAGAGTTAAGCATTCTGTTAGCATTTTGAAGTGTATTTTGAATAAAGATTTCAAAATCCTCTCGAGAATTTTGATCCATTATAGACAATTTATTGATATTATAAAATTAAAAAAATTATCAATTAATTCTTTATTTTATAGTTAAATTATATTTTCAAGTTTAACTTGATAAATTACATAAAATTTGTCACTTGAGGATAAAACCCAAGCACTTGAGGATAAACCCTAAGTCACTTGAGGATAAACCCCAAGCACTTGAGGATAAACCCTAAGTCACTTGAGAATAAAACCCAAGCACTTGAGGATATTTTCAAGCTACACAAAAATATTGATACCAAAAATGGAAATTTTTTTTGCTTGAGGTTTATCCTCAAGTGCTTGGGTTTTACCCTTAAGGCTGAATCCTTAGGCAGTTGAGGTTCAGCCTTAAACTTTTGTCCTTGTCGGCTGACCATAGTTACACAATCACCAATATACATTTCAATTGAAAATTTTAAAGTACTATTACCCCATTTAGAAGGTGAATGGACGAATACTAATTAAACTGTGTTCAAACTTTGCAGTAATATAATCCTTTATCTTTTAAAATGTTTTCCGTATCAGATCAGATCAAACTTCCTTGACTTCAGTAATATAATAGTGAAAAATGCCAAAAGCTAAACAATGCACACTTTGTAAAGAAACTAAAACTGAAATTTTAGAACAATAAATGAAAGAAGATGTGAGATGATAATTGAAAATAATGGTGAAAGAATTAATTATTAATTTTTACATTAATAAAAACTTTAGATTTTAAGCTTTATTTTTGATATATTTTTATTCGTTTTTATATGATAGTTTTTGAAGGATGAATGAATAAAAAATTCCAAAATTTTTTGTTACACACTGTATATGTTTTGCTTGCATTATGTTTTTTTACCTAGAATTAATAGATCCTTGGAGATTTTTCTAGATTCCTGGAACAATCATTCAATAAGAGCTGAGCATAATTCAACACCACATCATTGTTTATAAAAGGTATGATTGAAAATGGGTTCAGGAGAATGGAAAATTTAGATATCAATGTAAATGAGTATGGTGTAGACTGGGAAGGACCAGTACCTACTGAAAATATTGAACAAGTGGTATGTGAAGATCCACATAAAATACTTACAGATGAGCATTTATTAGAATTAAAGAATAGGCTAAATCCTCTGGAGGATGATGAGTGCTATGGAATTAATGTTTACAATAAGTGTTTAAGAATAGTGATGGAATTATTATCTAGAGCACATCCTGACTTACTTTAGTATTAGTGTTATTGTTTTTCAATTTTTTTTAGAAATTTTCATGATTGAAAGTTTGCATTTCTACATAAAACAAAAAAAAAAAAACAAAATTTGACTAAAAGCCATGACATATTTTTTTTTAATTGAATTTGTGATACAACAAATTTTAAATGCAATTTTCTTGTGTCTCAATAAATTCATTGAAACAAATTATGGTAAATTTTGTTGTTCATCAAAATGCAATTTATGAAAATTTACACATAATTAGATAATCAGAATAAATTGATAAAGGTTGTTATTTTTATTTTTATTTCTATTTCTATTTTCCCCAATATTTTCAAAAAACATATAATCTCAACAACAAATAACTCATGAAAAAATAGCTTTTGAATTTAAAACTTAGGACCATTATAAGTCAACTTACTACATAAATTTAAAATTCTTTAATGTTGGTTACCATTAACATAATTATCAATAGAATAATTAATAAATTCATAGTTATTATTATTAGATATTTGTCTTTGTCTATATCTTCTTTGGACATTATTGTTTCCATTATTATTGGAATTGACTTTCTATATAGTTCAATTCACAATGATACTTTGGATAAAAGATTATTTTATGCCCTGCCTTTTCTACAATTTCTT